TTTCTGTCACATCTAAACCACAAAAAGTAATTCCATTTTTCAAATTTTACTTGCTGACAATAAGGGTGGGTGATTTATATTTTTTTTTAATCCTTAAATGACAGTTTGCTCTGAATGCTCTCTTTTGTTGCTACCGGGATAGCACAGAGTTGATAAGGATGACTGTGCTGTTGACATAAGTGATATATTGAATTCTAGAAAGCAGCTGCTGCAAATTAGAGGAGAGTTAATGACTAGATAATTAGAATATCAGGTGGTTGATGTTAGTTCATATAATAATAGGTGGGAGTTGTTACTATCTGTTTTCTCTAAACAGCACTTGTATTTCAGAATATGCAGTTCAGATTTGGAATGGAATTAAAAGGAAAAGACAGCTTTCTGTTCATACTCTGATCTGGTAAATAAATATTATTTCAATTATGCAGAGGAGATTTTCTTTTTACTTATTTTGCTTGTAAAAAGCAAAGTATTGTTTAGTGTTGTTTTTTGCTTCTTTAATTTTTCTTGATCTCATTCTCATAGAACAGACCATTCTCTGTGTGTGTATATATATATATATATATATATATATATATATATATATATATATATATTTTATAAATTAATCATGAACCTGTCTGGTCTCCTTCCATATGGGCATGTACCTGAAGCTGCATCCCAGGTCTCTGTATTTATGTTTCTTTGGATCTGTGTATGTCCTATTACATATACCATATTTTTTCTGATGTTTAAACCCACTGTGCTTTACCCTCTGCAGTGTTTTTGAACTGCTTCCAGCCCCAGTCCACACTGGACATTGCAATTCCTCAGTATGGAGCAAAGGGCAGGATGATTTATTATTGAAGTCACTGGGGAAAAAATATTCAGTTTCATATGGAATTCACAGGTGCTGGGAGACAACTTTAAATACATCTATAACGTCTTCATAAAGTCTTGCAGACATTATAAAATCTGAATACATTGAATGACTACAGAGCTATCATTTCATCTTATTTTTTTTTTTTAATATTTGCTCTTCATCCGTCCTTCAGCCTTTCCTTTCACAATGTCCCAGTCAGGAAAATAGACCTTTCTAAATTGCCCACACCTTTTCTTACAGAAGTAAGAAAGTAAAACAGAGAAGCAAAGCAGCCTGAAAAGAAAGCTGGGGGATATTAGTCCATTTGGCCTGATCAAACCACCAGACACGGGTGAAGATGAATTTAACACCTCTGAGCCTGACTCTGTATCACAGCTGAACAAAGACACTCATATGTTCACTGCCTGAAGTTTTTTTTACAAACTTTTCAAAATAAAATCCTGTTATTGACATTTTTATTGGTAAGTGTATTCATTTATGCGGTTTTAAGTTGAAATGTTGTATCCAAAATGGTCAAATCAACTGCAGCCCCTCTGAAATTTATGAAAGGCATAAAAATGTCCTTTATCTGCCCAATGAGCAAGGAACAGATCATCAGCATGAGAGCACTGTGTAAAATTTTCATGTGAAACAGCAGTCTCCATCAAAATAAAACTGAGTCACTTGTCAGGTTAAGTGGACAGAGAAGCCTCAACAACTGACCAACAAATAGTACTACAAACCTGAACGCAGACTTGGTGGGTTTGTAAGCCTTGCTGAGCAATAAAATGACTATTGACGTAGCAAAATGGTGATTATATCAGTGGAAGGTGGCAGGGAATGGTTATTTAGTGACTTACTGTTCCAGGCACAAGATTGCATTCACCGTGATGGCTTCACTGAACACAAATTTTGCTGTTAAAAAAGCTTATTGTAGTGTTACAGTGAAATAAAAAAGTGTCATTTGAAGTTTAATGACCTTCAAAAAGAAATTAAAGACTAGTAAGCACTTTAAATTAAGTGTATAGATACGATTTAAACTTGAAATAGTAAGGAAATGCCAGAGTAAAACCCTAAAACTTCTCTGAGTTATTCAAGTGAACCCAAAAAGGATTCATAGCTGTTTGTTAAGGACTGGAAAGAGCCAAGGAAACTATTTATCACTACAATAACACAAAGCAACTCAGGCAAAAGGTCCTAAAATTACCCATGAAATCCACTGTAAAAATCACTGACCCTCCCTCCAGGTATGCAACTGCTCCAGTAAGAGAAGAAAAAGGCTTTAAGAAGTTGTATCCTCTTAGTGAGTGTGAAATGGAGCTTGCCTGGGTTCTGGCTGGAGAGTTGGAAGGTGTGCCCAGAGCTGTTGGTCCTGCAGTGTTTCCAGGCTGGAATAGCAGAGTCCTGCAGCAGGAGGTGATGGTACCACATTTTATATGAATTGTTTGTGCTTTTCCACTTCCTCCCTCAGGCTTGTGGCTGCTCCCTAAACTCACAGAGCCTGGTTACAAAGATAAAAGGCAAAGAAAGAGCCTCCCAACTTGGACGTTTTCAGACTCACAGCAAACATATCACATGCCACTTTTTAAAGGTTTAATTAGTGAGAGTCATTGGTGTGAAACTTGTACTCGGTTTCAAGTTAACTCATCTCTGTTTTTGTGTTTCTCAAAAAGGTCAACCACCTACCACAGGATGATAAAAGAGACAAGTAGATCTGGCTGGATCACTCAGTCACTGCCTGCTGAAATCCACACTTTGGGGAGATGTGCCAAATTCAGGGAAAATAATGAGCTGAAGGCAGAGGAAAAAAAGCACAGCTATACACAGATAAAGGAAGGGAAAGTAGTTGGTGATAGAAGCTGAAAATATGCGACAGGCTTAACATATACAATTAAAAAAAAGTATTTCTTAAACCAGCATAGACAATGACTTCATTCACATTCATTTTTATCAGTTTTACCCACACAGAGCTCGACCTCCTGGTAAAAGCCAGACTAAGATACTCCTAAGAGCCTTCTGGTGCCAGCAGATTAAAACTGGATTAGAGATTGCCAAGATACACTACATTTATACCAACATGTGCAAGCAGATATTGTTTCAGTAGGTTTCCAAGCTGATTCACCCATTCCTGGAAGTGTCCAAGGCCAGGTTGGATGGGGTTTGGAGCAACCTGGGCTAGTGGAAGGTGTCCCTGCCCGTGGCAGGGGGTTGGAACAAGACGAGCTTTAAGGTCCCTTCCAACCCCAACCATTCTGTGATTTGCAGATACCAAGAGCACCTTTGAGAGGTTACTGCTCTTGTTAAATGGATGAATGAGAAAAAAAGTGAGATACAGGGTGAGGAAAAACTATGATAATTAGAGAAATAAAAAATGAATAGCTGGATAACATGACATGGATAGTTAGGGAGAAGCCCATCAGCTCCCACTGTGTTTTACGACGGTCAGGGCTCTGCATGGGAGCAGATGAGTGATGGCTGATATTATCAAGGGGAGTGGAATATCTCCGTTTTTTAACCTTTCATTTGTTTAACCTTTACTGTGTGGGTGAGGTTGTGCAGCTGAATTTCTTATTACTTGGAAGGGATTGTATTTTTCTCTTTTATAGCAGCGATGATAAAAGCTTAGCAGAGTTCCCACATAAGTGGCTGTTAAAATGGATCTGTAATTATAAAAGGGCTGTATCCATCCTCAAGTTTCATTTCCTTGCGCTTCTGCAGGGTTTCCTGTTCTCCTACAACACTGAAAGGAAAAGAGATTACAAGCACAGAATTCAGAAAAAAAAAAAAATACCTGTTCTAAAGAGGTGGAAAAGGATTATAAAGAGAAAGCACTGGTATCCAGATTTATTGGTTTCTGGTTTGGATCTGTCTAAAGGCTAAATAGCAGTGCTATGTATTTCAAAGGAAAGGAACATTTTAGCTCCCAAGTGCACAGCTATATAGTAAATAGGGCACACATCATTTTGGTAATATTATTATATTCAAGACAGGCATAAACATCTCAGCTCAGCACAAGATATTCACACATCTGAAATTCCTGGTAAAATTCCTTTGAGCCTGAGTGTTTTCCCGTGTAAAGGTGCTGGACAACCAAAAAATAATTGCACAGACAAGTACACTTGACAGCTATTAGGCCATTTATTTAGTAATGCCTGGACTAAAATGGAGTAAGGTCACCTGCATTAGTCCTATTTTACTGAGCCCAAACACGTGTCGGCACTAGTGACAGCCAGTAAAGAGCACCAAAGCCACCATCTTCAGCATCTGATGTCCATGAGGTCTTCAGCAATCAGAATCCATCTCATTTCAGCGAAGAGATGCCCAGGAATTCCCCATCAAATCCACTTCTTGCTACCAAATGAAAAAGAACTTCTTGTTGAGATGAGCTCCTGTCTGAGAACAAAGCACAGGAACCTCTAGGTTTGTGAAGTTAAGCTCTAACACTGTTATCCCCAGGTAGAAAGAACTGAGACCTGTCAGGACTAAGAGGGTGGTTTCCACCTTCAACTTGATCATCAGAGGGATTTAAATTTGGCTGGTTTGTTCCTGGTTTCTCTGTGCACGTTAACCACCCCCAGCAAGACAACTGGGCAGCCTTTGTGGGACTGCAGAGAGAATCCACCTCAGAAATTCCATCAGTTCATAGCACAAAATGTAGTGTAGGATCTTGTTCTATTGTGGTGGCAACAAAATCTGTGCATGCCGATAAACAAGCCAAATTTAACTGCTAACAAATTGCCTGCTATCACTACTCTGTATTCAAAAATTATTTCACATTTTTACCTGCACAAAGATATCATTAATCCTTTCTCACCTGCCAAAAAAGAACACCCTTCTTGACAAATTGCTGTTATATTTGCTACACAAAAATATATGGCATATAGACTGTTGCAAGGCTGGTAAATAGAGTGAAATAAGTAAAACAGAATTGCAAATGTTGGAATGATTGGATTATTTGTTTACTTCTATGACTTAATCTAAATGATGCTGACTTGGAGCTGTTCCACAATTTAAGTCAGAGAATTACATTTGCACTCTTCTGTTTTCTTTAAGCCCTTGCTGGCAAATACAATGCTGGTATTTAATGGTATCTGCACAAAAAGCATGAGCTGAAATTATCTAAGAAATGTAAGAATATGACTATTTACTATGCAAGAGTTCATGCCTTTTATGTGCTTCCAACATTCCTGGACAAGAAAAACAAAAGATTTAATACAGATGGCACATGATACTTTTACAGTAAGTTTCCTACTGGCACTTTATTTTTTCCTCAGCTTTGAACGGTACTTTGGGGAATGTCTGTTCCAAGAGTCATATCAAACAGGCAAAAACAGTAAGAGCAATTAAAATGTTTAAAACAGAACTGTATTTGGAAGTGTATGCTGCAGTCTTTCTACCAAGCATATTACAAGATGTTTGTTTAGCCACAGACTTTTAGCTGGCTAAAATCATGCAGCTGACCCTTTTTTTTTTTTTTTTTTGGTATAATTAAGGTCATAGCATTGAAGCTAACAGAGCAAAGTTACATTTTCATCCGCTGACACTCTGTCCAGTGTTTATTTAGTTCACTCTCTCTAGATACAGGTCTGCATCTTTCCTCAATCCTATCCTGCTGTACAATTTTGTTACTTAGAAGCCTGTGAAAAAAGCACAAATCCTGTCCCCACAGAGGCAGCAGCTGCAGAAGCAGGACGAGCAGGTCACGCAGAGGAGCCCAAAATCCCCTGTATGTCGCAAAAGACAGTGGCATGAGATGTGCATGAGCACAAAAGGCACTTAAAGTCAGGCCAGAAATCAATAATTTATGAACTAAGCACCTATCAGTGGCTAAGACTCTCCTCTCATACACATGACACAACTGGCTGTTCCTCAGGAAAAGCTTTGTTCAAGTCCTTATCCCATGTTAGAGAAGGGGCTGCAGCACCACAACACCAAAGTGGTCCTTATCCCATGATCTTTTCATTAGGTTTAGTTCCTGGAGTAAAAATGCAGCCTTAGAAAGCCAGAGAAGAAAACACCCCTGGCATTAAACTCTGGAATTACACTACATCCTGAAATATAAACAACCCAAGCAGGAAAGCAAAGGTGGGTTATTCACTGCAGGGTTTTTTTTCTGAATGTTATGGTGCTTGTCAAAAGAGAGACTTTCAGGAAAAGGGGATGAAATTATGGCATGTGTTTTAACCACATTAAACATAAGTTGTCCCCTCTCAGCTTTCCTCCCGTATGAGAATAAAACATAAGGAGTGTCAAACTTCTTTAGAATTGCAAAAATATATCAATTTTATACTTTAGATACAACATTTTTCAATTTTTCATTCAGAATAACACTTCTCCTTTACAAGTATCTTAGTATCATTTTTTTTTTTTTTAAATCCTTCTTTCTCCTCTTTTTAAAGAAAACAGATTTATAAAGGATTACAATCAAAGAACTCAACAAGGCAAACGTTTCACTCCAGGTTAACTCAAAACATCTCCCTCCATTCTTCCTGCCTCTCCCTTCAACCCAGGGCTGGTTTTTTTTTCGGTTGAGCTTGGATTTTGCTCCCGATTTCACCGCCAGAACGAGAACCCCCACCGTCCATCCAGCTCCACTAACAGAAAGGCCTCTTGCAGAGAAATACGCATGAAGAGATGGGCTATGAAACTCTCACTACGACTACAGCCAGGCTGGCAGAAGCAGAGCTCGTGGGCACCGAGGGATGCCGGGATTGGCGCCTATCGGTGCTGCTGCCACTGCCGCGCCCGCTGCCGGTGCCGGCGCGCCGACAGGCTGATGGGCTGCTTCCCGAACTTCCTCATGATCTCCTTGATCCTCGCCAGGTTGGTTTTGGAGATGGTGAAGTCGCACTGGGTGGCCCCCATGTCGTAGCCCACCTCGCAGGTCCTGGTGGCCGTGGTGTAGCCCTCGGCCTTCACGCCCACCACGTACTCGCCCGGGTTGAGGAGGCGCCAGTAATCGCCATCGGCTCCTGGGAGGGAAAGAAGAGGGGTTTTAGGACTTTGGTCTTTCCTCCTTGAGGAAGGTGTTGTTTATAGACTCATTAGGGTTGGAAGAAACCTCTGAGATCATCAGCCCTGCCATCAAGCCAGCACCATGTTTATCACTGAAACACATCCCCAAGCGCCACATCCACAGGGTTTTTTCGCAGAATCACAGAATCTCCTGGGTTGGAAGGGACCCAGAAAGATCATCGAGTCAAAGTCCTGGCCTTGCACAGGCCCATCCCCCAGAGTCACCCCCTGTGCCCCAGAGAATCATCCAAACCCTCCTGGAGCTCTGGCAGCCTTGGGGCTGTGCCCACTGCCCTGGGGAGCCTGTTCAGTGCCAAACACCCTCTGGGGGAAAAATCTGTTCCTGAGATCCAGCCTAAACCTCTCCTGACACAACTTTAAGCCATTTTCTCAGTTGGAAAAGACCTCTGAGATCATCACCTTCAACCACCAAGCCAGCACCACCACCATGTTCAACACTGAACCCTGTCCTCAAGTGCCACAACCCCGTGTTTTTTGAACACTCCCAGGGATGGTGACTCCACCACTCCCCTGGGCAGCCTGTTCTAGTGCTTGAAGACCCTTTCCATGAAGAAATCTTTCCTAATATCTAACCTAAACTGCCCCTGGAGCAACCTTAGGCCATTAAATGAGGATGCAGAAGTTCATGTACAGGGGTAAGATGACACCACAACCAGGAACCCTCTATCCTTACACCAAGAGGGTGTCAAAGAGGCTGCTCCCCATCACACCCCCCCCCCTCCTCGTCCTGCCAACCCTAGAGGAAAACACATCTCAGTCACATTTTCCAAATGATGAAAAAGGGCCAACGGGCTTCAATCTGTCTTAAAATTTTTGGCAGGTGGAAAGTCCTGAGGCCAAGGATTGGTGGTTCCCAAGGGGTACAAAAAAACCTTCCCCAAATTAATTGTAACTGATTGATCTAGGGGAGCCCCAGTGGAGTAACCACACTGCACCCATGACCCTTGGCCAGGCTGCCTGGACACAGGTTTTTGTGCTTATTTAGTATTCAAAGCATGTGAATACATAATATCAACTCACCTGGAGATGTAAGTAAATATCCCCATCTATAAAACCTTACACCGAGTTTTATTGCACTGATTTCCCTACAAAGTATAATTCACCAGGGTACTTAACCACTTTCTTACCTGTAAATGGGCAAACAGAACTCCTGTAATCAACTGAACTACTCATGCACAAAGAAATATTTTAACACCTCACTGAATCAGGACTTACTGGTTTCTTCTTTTTCCCTCACAAATGATCTCAGATGTACCCATTTTATGGACCCATATGTACATAAAGATGACTTTAGGCTTCTTTTAAATATGATTTTAACTAGCGGGGTATTCTTAGTTGTGAACTGAAATAGGTCAAAAACTAATACCAAAAATCAGTTTTGCACTCTGTCCTGGGAAAACCCACTGTGAGTGAAAGTACATATTCAAACATGCAATTCTGTATATAAATAGAAATGGAACATCTCTTGCACTAGGAGGGGTTGGAGTTTTTTAGCACTGATGAGAACTGACAGCCTTACTAACACTGGCCTTGGGTTGCTGGCAATGCAGAGTGTGGCAAAAAATAAAGATGATTTGCATAAAAATGTTATATTTGGGAAAAGATCAGACTAGCCAGCCTCTTTTTAAAGAAACAGGATTTTAATTTAGGGTTTGGTAAAATAAAACAAGATGTTTGCAAACAGCAAGTGTTAAAAAAACAGCAATATTGACTATACCCTGAAACTGCAGCCTCTGAGTGTGCCAGAATTGCATCCCATTAAGTTAATTCTTACATCCCAACATGCTCAGATTTTTCTTTTCTCCAGTTTGACCACATTTGGCCTGATGATCAAGGTCCAAATTTTCTCTTTCTCAAGATTCAGGTATTTTTAGGAAGGGATCCAAGAGAAGCTCTTTGTTAAGTCCTCCCTTACCATTGGGTCCATCGGAGACTTAACAAAAGGACAAAACATGAATCTGCCCAAGTTCCTTGTATTTATCCCCAAGGGCTCGTTTCCAGCTGTAAAAGCTCTGGCATTGCTGCAGGGCAGGGAAAAGGCTAGGATCACCCTGGGAGTGGCTGGGAACACATCCCTGCTCAAAGCCCTGCTCAAAGCCCTGCTCTAGCCCCGGGAGTGCCAAACTGACCCACATTCCTCTGACACATTTAACAAGTCGGTTCATCACCACCCCACACGAGGCCAGAAATAAACCTACACATCCACACAGCACCGGGAATTCATCACAAAGCTGGATATTAAGCCGTTAGCAGGATGCACTTTACCTCCTTTCCATTTACAAGCCAGGAGACACAAGTATTTCTGTCAGCTGCCAGTGCCCAGAATTTAATACCAGGCTAAAAGGTTGGGGTTTTTTTGAAAATCAGATTAAATTCAGTAGGTAAAAAAATTTCAGAACAGATGGCAAAAGGAACACAATTAAAAATCCAGATAAATTTAGTAAATAATAGGTTTGCTGAAATAATAAGTTCCAGTGGGAGCAGGCTGGAGGCAGACTACATCCACATCCACCTCCTGGGTCTGGAAAAGGATTGCCATGTCTGCTTAGAAAAAATAACAATGCATTAAGGCAAAGATAGTACTACTATAAAATAAATGTGCCAGATCACTCCATAAATACATCAATTAAGAGAAATACTTGGAGCCTTACAGGACTTATTTAGTCCTTACTTTATGGTAAAAGTGCAAAAGTGATTTTTATACTAAAACTATAAATCATAATAAAATCATAGGAATATTACCAAAATATTGATAAAAAATTTCTCTAAATGTTGTGTGAAGTTAAGTTAATTATGCTTTAGTACAAATCACACAGAAACATGTACTGGTCTTTGAACTCTGCCTGTGATTCAGAAACATTTCACCAGGAACACGTTTCTTCATCTATATATACTTTGACATTTCCAAAATGTGCAATTACAGGAAGCAACCCCAAAAGTGCCTTTGCACCATGGGGAAAACAGATGCATTTGCTCATCCAGCTGATGAACTCTTTCCAAAGGTTATCTTATAGACCACAGTCCACATCTAACTGTAACAACGTGTAATCACTCAGACTTTATCAATAGCTACATCTGCATCAGGAGAAAATGGAATAATTTCCCACAAAGCTCTTACTCTCAGGATCAATGGCTTCAATTAGCCTATTAATAGTGTTAGCTGAATGTCAGCATCCCTCTCTTTCCATAAGATATATTGCATGTTCAAGAGAAATTAAAAACAATGTGCTTTCCATGCACTTTTTTTTTTTTTTTTTTTTTGTCCACAGGAAGAAGCAACGAAATTTTCTCAAACATGTAGATGTTGTTATAAGGCTTTTACAGACAACTTTTATCTGGCTCTACAGAGTAGTCCATCATATTAATGTATCAATGAAACAGCAGATACCTGAGAGCTGAGCTCACTTGAAACAAAACTTATATGAATAGAGATAGTGGCCATAATTCTTCCCCTGCTTGGCCTATTTTTACATCAAGGCAACTCAGAGGTTTAAATGGAAACATTTTTCATTTTAAAAGGTATAAATGAAAGAAGACTGCTGACAATTTGCCTTCTTTATCTGGAGTTATACGTGTCATTTTAGCTTTTGGGCTCTAACATAAATCCTCTGGTTTCAGAGACTAATGAGACGTGTATTGTTATCTGTATAACAGAAAATAGGAGAGAACTTTTATGTTCCCATTTACGAAGTGTGAACTTAAATGTCTCATTAAAATGAAAAATTAGAAAGAATTAAATAAACACTTTTATTTTTACCAACAAGTGCAGATGGCTTCGAGCCATAGAAGCTCAGCAGTAAGATGAGATACAAATAGCTGCATCATTCCCTTGAGTGTTACAAGGTGGCTTTTTGGATCTTGCACATTTATTGGACTTGTCAATGAGTCTCTTTCCTGTAGAACTTTTACTGTCTTTAATCTGCTGACTTCTGTTTCACATGGCAATCCAGTGTACAGAGAGCAGGAGATTAATCACACACTGCATTAACTCAGCCTCAACCAGAGCAATACATTAATTCTGTTAACAGAGTAATGCAGCCCACACTTCAGGGCAGACTTTCAAGACTGCCAAGGCTTCCAAGACAAGAAAAAACAGCTGATTACTGTAATTCCCACTATCATTTCCCAGTGGTCCCATTTTTGAAATGTTTAAGGCAGAATCATTATTGCCTAATTAAATATCTGTCATTCAAGGTTTTCTTTTACAATGGGAGACATGGTAGCACTGAAATTAATCATAAACTAAGTTAGACATTCCAAGATTCATTATTGGCTCGGATCATCTACTGCAGCAAACATTAAGGATTTGGAAGTCAAAAGCTCTATGAGATTCCACAGCCTGAAATCAGTTTGTGTGTCCATGTGCCATACTGTGTCTCAGTGACAAAGCTCATGACAGTGGCATCAAATAAAGGACCCAGAACACCAGTAAAGACATAAAGCCCCATAAAGTTAGTGTTTAAAAAAAAATATGTGGATGTGGTATTAGGGACGTGGTTTAGTGGTAACATGGCAGTGCTGGATTAATGGTTGGACTCAGTGACCTCAGAGGTCTTTTCCAATCTCAATAAATGTGTGATTCTATGATTCACAGCCCTGTAACTGTTAACAGCCAGAGAAATGCTCTTCACCCAGCATGGCATTACCTGCACCCTTGTTTTTCAGTGTTACAATTATTCTGGGTTAGATTTGCACTACATTTACATAAGGAAAGTGACAGTAAGTGTTCTTTAGACACGGTCTTAATCAGGCTTTTGATCTGGGGCACATAAAAGCCTATCTGCCCAATACTTTGTTAGAGGTGGAAAGAAGAAGAAGAGTGGAGAGGAAAGCCAAAGTATTGTTCTTTACACAGCTGCAACATAGAAAGAAGTGACTCCCTCCTCATGTGCCAATCCTTCTGCACCATTCTCCTTGGACCATATCCTACCTGCTGGCTTTTCTCTGAGAAGGATTCAAAACTTCCACAAAATTCTGCATTTTGCTTTTAAACCATAAATCTGCCCTTTAGCACTCACGGTTTTGCTTTTTTTTTTCCTTTTACCTGTGCGAATGTCATGGTTGACACCTTCTACTGAGATAACAGCATTTGGGATTCCCTTTCCATGCACATCTTTTACTATGCCTTTGATGCCACGATGGACCTATGGGGAGAATAAAAAGTCAAGTAAATACTGCACAGCAATGAACAGTTGTAATACTTGGAATTTAAAACTAATTATTAATTCAATATGTGAATTATTTGTATTATATTCCTAGTTTATGGCTCACAAAATTGTGAAATGTCACTATTAAACCCATATCAGTCCTCCAGGCATTAACCTGTGAATCAGCTTACGAATTCTATTAGGATTCCTGAGGCATCAAATTCAAGATATAGAGAAAAAAAACAGATAAAGCAACAGAACCAAGGACCTTTTTCTAGCAAGTTAGAATCAAATTTTGAGAAGCTTCATTATTTAATTCTCTCAAGTCAAACCAGCCTGCCTGAAGTGATACGTCAGTATTATTTGCAGGGAAGATTTCTACCATAAATACCAATAACCACGTAATTAGCCATGCAAGAAAAACCATCAGAAACCTTAAACTCTCTCTCAAACTGAAAGGAGTCACCAAGTCATCTAGAACTTGCACTTCTGTGGGAATACCTGCTCCATGAAAACAATCAGGGACTCGCGGTTGTTCTCCCATTCTTCGGGCAGCTCGCTCTCGTGTGGATATTTGTCACAGCCAACATAGATGGAGAGCTCAAAGCAGTTCGTGTGCAGGTAACTGAAGTCATTTATGCCTGTCAACAGGGGGCAAAAAGGAAACAATTTCATATCCTTTTTAATCTGCTGATCAGATCTGATCTTCTTTATCCATGTTAATGTGACCTCTTCAAACACAAACTGGGTGTTTATCCAGATGGCTCTCAGTCTGCAGGTCTGGCAGGGCAAAGGAGTTTTAGAAATGCCACAGCGTGGCCAAAACAGCGAAACAGGTTAGCTGGAGTTGCAGTCACCAGAAGTGCTTCTGACTGAAAAGAGTTAAAACAAAACCCCTGGTCCTGTCCAATTACCACAGAGCAGAAGTCGAGTATTTAATGAGCCCTCAGTGCCTTCTGGAAGCAGAGCAGGAGGATTATATAATACAGATGTTCAGCTTTTCACTGCTGTTGATGGGGAAAACCTAAACATCAGCGAGTGGCATATGCTACTCTGCATAAATGTGCTTCCCCTCTATTTGAGAAACAGCCACAATTATTTTCTCCTCACATACTGTATCCCATCCTGACTAATCTGCTGTGAAATGTTTAGCAATACACAGTAATTGCTCAGTTTTAATACATGTATTTAAGAAAAATGGCTTAACTTTGCCAAGAGCAACTCTTTCATAGTGTCTGAACATGCAAATCCAGCCTTGAAAACACTGGAAATAAAACTAAAATCAATCTGTTCTTTGTCCTTGTGCACTTCAGCCAGTGCAGAAACTTTATATGTAAAATTGCTGAAGGACTTGCACTCATTGCAGTCCAAAAAATGTGCAGGAAATAACATGGCTGGGTTTTAAAGGCAGGAGGAGGTGTTGGATATCTGTGCTGCACATGCTTCCCTAGGGATTCTCTGGTCCTGGAAAGAAATTAGAAAAATTCCTTATAAGTTCTCCCATGGGATGAGCAGTGAAAAGTTTCTGTGCATGGTCAGTGCAAGGCCAGGAAGATGGATGAGGAGAGAAGGAATGGACAGCTTCAAGGTGTGGTACAAGATGCCACCCACACCGAAGGGCAGGTGGGAGAGGTTCTTCAAGCAGTTTATTGGGGTGTCACCTCCAGGGCAGGGATGAAACAAGCAGGGGTGAGGACAATAAGGTATTACATGTTGATCTAAAAGGTAAATAAATAAATAAATTCTAAAAAGTGGAGTGAGCTATACAGCTATATCTGCATAGTCATGGAATGACAGAGTGGAAGAATGTGGGAGAAATCTGGAATCATATTTGGACAACCCTTTGCAATGCAAGGTGGTTGGTTAACTGATAGCTGCAAAATACATATCTATATATGCATATGTATGTATCTGCAATACAAATCACTTTCTTGCTCTTCTCTAAGGAGACACAAGAAGTCTAAAACCATCCTGCAGCTTGGAGACTGAGCTCAAATGGAAACCACATCTTTTGAGGTTTACTCTGGAGTCCAGGGTGTAAAAACTGCAAGTGAAAGCAATATTCTCGAGTTTGACTCAAAGAATATCCTGGAAGTCTTACTATAATGGAACAGAGCAGGGTTTAAATTATAATGAAAACATTATCAAGAAATAAAACAAATCAGATGAAGCCAGTCCAATATGCAATTGGTCCTAAGAAATCAGGATAATATTCAGCATCTATGTGGTCCATCATTACTTAAAGCAGATTAGTATGACAACTGTTAGTGACATGGCCAGTGTGTCATCTTTTCTGGATCGATTCATAATCATGTTTCTTATAGCACTTAGGAAAATTAAGTTCATAAATTAGATAGTTAAGTGGTCAAGTTAGTTTTCAGAGTACGCTTTAGAATTTGCAGAAACACACAGAAATGTATTGTCAAGCATTGGCCTTGAGATCTAAGAGTTCAATCACCCCCTTCCCAATTTCACCCAACACTTTTTAACCTCCTGAAAAAATACTTGAGAAGTTAATTCTTGACTGCAGCCTTTAAAGGCAGGCCAGGACTAACTTCACATGGGCCAATGTAAAAGCCACAGAAGCTGTCTCCAAAATGTAGAAATGTTTGTGCAGTGAAAGTACCTGCAAGTTCCAAACACGAGCCAGTTCCAGTAAAACGTGGGCGGCACAGACACTTTCCTGCAGCTGTTTGCCATTACTGCTGCCGTTGCTCCTGTTGTCATCAAGTGATGGCAGCAGCCAGGCTCGTTTCTTAATTTCAGAGAATATGTTGTTTGACTGATTTGCTTGTAAAAACACAAAGATTTCGAGCAGAACCGTGGTGAATCAGCAAGAGTGTCGGATTCTGAGTCTGCTCCAAGTGTACACCCATAGAGATAACTGTGCCTAATGCTGTTAAAAATGTGCTTCTAATTGGGCTTTCCTGGAAATCCATGTTTTGGCTGCACCACAGGACGCAGCTTCCCTCTCGTGCTCCTTAACAGGGTGACAGGCTTGGGTGTAGGGTGATTGATGCAGCCTGGATTTTATCCTGGCGGCAGAAATGTCTGTGGAGCCCATGAAAAGTTTAAATGCAAGGATTTCCAGGTCTTTTAAAAATAGGATGGTAGCAAGCAAACTGCAGCTTTTTTTCTTGGCATGTTATTACAACTCAAAGTGAATGTGATGGGGGGCTGATTTTGTGACTGCGTTCAGTGAGCAGGAGGCTGAAATCAGGGTCTGCTTATCTGAGGGCCACTGGAATCTCTCCCTGGAGTCACTGCTTCAGCTCTGACATGTGCTCTGATGTTCAGCAGCGGTTTTCTGTTGTCACCTTATGAGATGGCAAAGGTTGACAGGCTCCCCCCCGCCACATCTAAACTGGAGTTCCTACCAACACTTACTGCCAGCCACGGTGTGCCAGGAGGCTCCGTTAACAGTGCCATCCTCCTTCTGGAAATCCTCTGTGTGGCACGCCCTCCTTCTCGCATCCGTCATCAGGCGGTGGGTGGAGGCGTAGGAATAGGCCAGCCAGCGGAAGACGTGGTCGTCTGGGGTGGGGGTGTAATCCTGGGTTTTCCACATGGACCTCACCATGTCGTAGGGATAGGCCACCACCAGCTCCCCTCCCTGCAGGTTGCCACCCAGCACGAAAGGGATTTTCTCCATCCACGCTATGATTGCCCGCGTCTCCACCGCCACCTGGGAGGAAAAGGAGCGGCGGGTTTGGCTCGGCCCGCGGAATCTGAGGGTCTGGTTTCGAGGGGCAGGAACCCTGCTGGGAGCTTATGAGCTTGAGCAGCCAGCAAGGAGAGATGTGGCCGAGGAGAAGGGCTTCTTTAAATTGTCAGCCGCGCCTGGGAGGTCACAGACAATCCGGGAGAACTAACAAAACCTTCTAGTTATTAATTTCTGAGGAACATCTATGTGGAGTGAGGCCAGGAGCAGGAACTGATAGAGATGTCATGTGGTGACACTGCTACCCCTGCCATGGGCTGAAATGAGTTTCCCAAACCAGGGATTTTAAACATAATGCCCACAAACTAAAACACAACAAGTTCCACCTTGACATGAGGAAAAACTTCTTTTCATGGAACTTGGCAGAGCACTGGAAGAGACTGCCCAGAGAGGGCACGGAGTTTCCCCCTCTGAAAACATTCCAAACCCACCTGGATGTGCTCCTGTGTCACCTGCTCTGGGTGACCCTGCCTTGGCAGGGGGGTGGGAGTAGAGGTCCCTTCCAACCCTTATTATTCGGTGATTCTGTAATTCTGAAGCACCAAAGAGCTGCCACAGTTAATTGCCTTCCCCTCAGCCACTATTAATAGTTGCCATTATATTTAAAAGGTCAGGCAAAAATAAGTTAGATTTTTGGCACTAGAATCCAATAAAGGGCTTTAGCATAAGCCACTGCATTGGTTCTGTATATGCCTGAGCTGTTGTTGTGTCATTTAAGGTAAGAATATGTTTCAAATAAGAACAAATAAGAAAACCCCAGAAGAAATCTATAAGGACACTGAGTTTACAAAAAACTAGGGAGAAGCCTGATTCACATGGCTGAGCTCCAGGGTGAGCTTTTCCCTGTCTACCTGTTGCTGCCTAAAAATTGGGTATTGAGTCCTCCAGGTTCTCATAACAGCCAAGGGCAGATCCTTCCTCAAGATCTGCCTCTAAAATGGCAGGGGTGAATGGTCCTTTTTTTGTGCATTTTTATTTCCACTGAATAACAGGGAAATCTAGACAGGAAGATTAGATCAGCTGGGGAACTTCAGCCTCAAATTTCTCATCCCTTGAGAAATGCAAATCTCTCTCAGCACATCCCAGCCTTGGTGTTCCCCTCTCTCTGGCATTACTCACAGTGGCGTTTTCGGACAGGTACCAGTCAGGGATGGGGATGTGATGGTTTGGAACTTTTCTTTTACTCTTCTTCTGATCTTCTGACTCCCAGAGCAAAGAGTTTAAGTCAGGGAAATTGTTGTTGATGTCAATGCCGTCCTGAGTCCATCGTCCTAAAGACCAGCCCCCTAATTCTGAACCCTTAGATTGAAAAATAAAAGGGGGAAAAAAAAAAAAAAGGGAAGAAAAAAAAAAGGTAAGTGTTCATTCAGAATACAACAACCTGTGAGCGCTCAGGAAAGTGTTTGGGAATGTGCCAGAGGTAATTCTATGCGAAGAAATAAAGGACTAACCATTTAATTACTGAAAAAAATAACTGGCCTTTTTTTCTTTTTTTTTTTTTAATTTTGTACAAAAACTTGAATGATGTGAAGCAAAACCCATGAAAAATTACTTGAGGTTAGCCAAAATATATTCTGCAAAAGGAGAGAGCCCACTTTCCCTTCCATGACTGTGACTGTGACTTTTCTGTTCCAGTCTTCTGCAGACTTCCCTGAAAGATTTTCCAGTGCATTTGACCAGCCCCTACAATTTTTCCTCCTGGTGTCTGTCTTCTTCCAGACAGAATTATTACGATGCCCTACACAACGTGCTCTCCTCAAAGGTGCACTATTAAATTTCAGCTGAGGAGGAGTGCAAATATTCACGTGCTTAGCTCGGTTTCTCAGGAGAAACAGACTGCCTGAATTTTCCACTTTCCATAATGGTGTTCCCGTTGATCTGTACACCTCAGTATGGTTTGTTCTGGCAGTGTTTGTAACCCTTCTTTCCATATATATTTTCCTGTTAGCCAATGTCATATAAAAAACTGTTTCTTTTTTTTTTCCCTCAGTAAGATGTTTCAGTGGTTTAATTTTATCTTCACGCGTTTATTGTTTGATTTTTTTTAAATTGTGAAATACGAACTTCAGAAGAAAATAATGACAAGAGAGGCGTGTTTTATTCATCTACTACAAATAAAAGAATTCCCTGAAGTGCTGACAATCCCATTACCGCTTTATATGCCTTGTCATATCCGTCTGGGTTGACCGAGGGCAGGAGGTGGATTCTTGTGTCCTCAATGAGGTGCACAATCCGTGGGTTCCCAGCCAGGTATTCCTGGCACATAAACTGCATCAGCAAGAGGATCAGCTCACGTCCCAGCACTTCGTTCCCGTGAGCTCCTGCGATGTAGTGAAACTCTGGTTCCCCTGTTGGAAGCACATGGAGCAGAACTGTGGTCAGAGCAGCAAACCAAATATCTGTTAAAAGTTATTGGTGTCAATCAGCAACATTTCAGCCAAGGAACATTGGAGAAATGCCTTAACTGCACAAAATGACGCAGAAACTTTAGAGAAACAAATTACTTGCTGCTGCTATTTTAGAAGAACAGGTTTATGTCCCAGTGATACCTAAAGCCACTGTGTAAAACCTTCAAAATCCATTCTTGGTTAAACATTTTTAATTATACTCACAATTTCAGCATGTTAGAGGTAGATTTTAGCAGTTCTGATAGTCTAAAAATAACATGAAAAATACATTGCTAGTAGTTCTCTCAGACAGATGATAAGGCGCTTAAAAGAGAAGTCAGTAACTGCACATAATTGATTTCTGACTTCACAGGGTCTTTTCCTTCTCTAAAACAGGTTCCACATACATATTTCAAGGTTATCCTGAGTGCCACAATCCTTGTACTCAACAACAAAATGCTTCAGGGATGATTAGGAATAATGTGCATTCACCCCAGGTAAAAAAGGTAAATTTTTTCCAAAGCTACATAAATCCCCACAACTAAAACCCGTTCTCCAGTACTAAAATTCACTTTTATTTTACTATTGTAAAGAATTATCATTAAGGAATTCGGTCCCATGTTCAAAATGTCTTCTGTTTGTGCTCACCCTCCTCTTCCCAATTTAGAAATACAGCGCTTAAGTTCCTCCCACATACATTTGAAATCTTTGCTGCCACGAATATAATTCCATCAGTGAAAACTACAGCAGATACAGGAAAAGATGAGGGGGAAAAAAAAAAAAAAAAAAAGCCCATCACCCTTCAACAGATTTAGACTAAATCCTAACCAACTTCGTGCTCTCCTGGGTTGTCAGAAATCTCGACAGCGTAGAGCTTCAGTCCTTGGTTGCTTTTTCCAATATTGTAGATTCTTGTGATATTTGGGCACATTTTATTCACAGTTTTCATCAACTGCCAACAAGGAAAAAAAAAAAAAAAAACACAAAAAGACATTTAGTTAGACAATGCAGCATCAAAATAGATCCACTATGAATTACTCCTTTTCAAACTGGATATGGCAAAACTCTTAATTTTCTTCTCTGATTATTTCTTAGCTGTAAAAGCTTTAAGTTCAGTTCATGAATTGCCAGCTCTGCTATCACATTTTTAAAACATTATGCAATGGAGAGGAAGTAACAACAGAAATGTTGTCAATAAAGACATTCTGCCCATCAAAATCTATTCAATTCACCATTTCTACAGATATTGCACGACATGGTTAAAATATAATCAAATAATAATAATAATGTAATACTGAAATGCTTAGAATTAAGCATATATTTCTGTTTAAACCAATTGAGTTCCACAGATATCATCCAGATCAGCATATCTTGAGCCTAAATTGTCCCACAAACATTTTACCGTGGTATTTCAGGTGAATGTTAAAATGTGCAAACAAGACTGAAAATTTCTGTACTAACATTAGGTTATTGCAAAAGGCTTTAATCAACGAGAATTTATCTGCCTTGATCTTTTTTCCTTTGGAAGGAATTAAAGAAAGAAAACAGTACTTTACTGTAGACTGGAACCCTGGGGACTGTTAATTAGACAATCATTTCATAAACAAGCGTTGCATACATTACTGAGGAAATATTGTGGCATAACAAAACTGCTTGCTCACACATTGTTGATTTAGAAACAACACTGGGTGATCACAAGGCTGATGATTTAAAAAATGTAATAATTAGATATGTCCAATTCCCATGCCACCATTTAGCAAATCTAAGTGGAAACACAACTCACATTGGGAAGAACATCATTAAAATTCCTCTCAAATAAAAAGCTTCACTTCTATTTATAAACATTTTGCAAGGAGACTGAAAAGATGCTATTTCTGTACATTTGTTCATCTCACTCATTGGTTTTATAGATGGGAGAAACAATTCTTGTGGCAAGTTTAAACTCATCACTTGTCTGAAAAATGCAGTCAGTTGTGCTCTTTTGGTGTATTAATGTCTTGTTTCATATCTACTTATTTTCAGCACTGTCATCATCAGCAGCATGCTGGTATTATGAGTACTCAGATATTCCCACAGAACCCTTCTTAACTTTCTGGGCATGGGTAAGTGTGTGTGGCATTTATTGTTGCAGCTGAAAGACACAGGTGAGGCCGGAGAACACTGGTTTACATCTGGTAGCATTTTGTTTAAATGACTCAATTGCTAACTCTTTGAGACACACTGCCTTAAATCTTCCTGGTCATAATGAACCAAAAATTTTGTCAATAGGTATAGAAACATAGAATCATTTTGGTTAAAAAAGACCTCTAACGTCATCAAATCCAACCATTCCACCAGCACTGCCAAGGCCACCACTGACTCAATGTCCCCAGGTGCCACATCTACACAGCTTTTACATCTCTCCAGGGATGGTGATGACTCCACTGCCCTGGGCAGCTGTGCTAGGGCTTGACCACCCTTTCTGTGAAGAAATTTTCCTTATTATCTGGTCTAAATCTCCCCTGGCACAACCTGGGGTTGCTTCCTCTTGTCCTCTCCCTTGTTAGGTGGGAGAAGGGACTGACCCCCACCTGATTCCAAACTCCTTCCATAGAAACAGGGAAGCCTGTCCTCTCAGAGCTGTCTCTGAAACCAAGTGGGGAAACTTCTGCCTCTGAAACTTCCACAGAGTTCTTTGCTAACGTGCCTGGCACGTTATCCTGCAGTGCTCACAGGATACCAAGAACATCAATTTAGCAAAGTGGCTCAAAGTACGTAAATGCTCATTAATAGCGACAAAAATGCCTAGAACCAACTTCAAAGTACATTACATTCAGTGGAAATATTTGTATTGGCCTCAGTAACACCCCCATAACTTCTTTAATTGCAAGCATATGATTATTTTCTGAGTCAAAGAACTTTTCCTGAATTAGAACCCCTGTAGTAGACTTCACTGAGACTCTTTTGGCAACAGTGGGGGACACTGTAATGCAGTTAACTGTTTCTGTAAATACCATACTGAAAGTGAACATATTTCATATTTGATCTTCTCATACCCATTTCCTCTGAATGGCACCTGAAATGTCACTGTGTTTGTGTTTGCACAAACTGCCAAAGACAACTGGTGATAACAGTCACTTAAGGCTTTATTAACAAGCAGCAGGACTGTAAAGCACTTCCCCAGTTACATTCACTAACAGCTCTTATTGACAGCTTGTGTTTGTCACTACCAATCATTTACCTTATTAGTGACCTGAGAAATACTTCAGGCAGCCTTTGAAGAAGCCTCACAAAACTGGTTTCTGAAGGTCTGATGCAGAAAAGGTGTATTAAATGTAGGTCTAAGTGCCATCTACGCTTACAGGAGGCAAAAGGACTCTCAGTCCATGTCTTTCAGGTTAGGACTCCTCTTTATCCTCTGTGGAGATCACAGAGTTGTTGAGGTTGGGAAAGACCCTTCAGATGATGGAGTCCAACTGTTCAACTAACAATACCAGGCTCTCTGGAAACCACCTCCTCCTTGAGCTTGGACAGCAGCACATACAGGCCATCAGCCTGGCATTCCATCCAACCCAGAATGCTGAGCTGGCCTGCTCTGACCTTCCACATTTGGTTGTTTCACCCTCAGATCAACCTGTTCAATGGGTAACATCAGTGCTCTTCAATATTCCTCATTATCATCTCACCAAGCCCATAAACAGCTGACCACGAAAAGCAACTTCCTAACCAGAGAGTTCTATTAAAATAATCTGGCACTGGGAAAATCCCTCCCTCTCACAAATACTTCACATATTGCATCACTTGACAAAGGTATTGTCTCCAAAACATGGCCCAGGGAATAACCTCTCCTCCTCCTTCAGTATTTATAATAAATATCTTCAAAGACCAGAATTTTTCTAAGATGGTTGGTAGTGAAGAAGCTACAAAAAGTGACATTAATTTATAGGTTACAGGGGGATTTTTGTTTGGTTTTTTTTTAACTTGACTCTGACTGTTATTGTTCCATTTTGCCCCAAAGTTCTAAGAATAGTTTTGGGGATATAAGACTTATTGCAATGTAACCCACAATCTTCTGCCTACCAGCAGCAGAACCCAATCAGAATCTAATGAGCTCTAAATAAATTAAGTATTTTGACACAGAGGAAAAGAGAAATTGTGAGAGCATAAAAGACAACTGACCAGGTCTCAGCCACAGTCCCAAATTTTCTACCTGTATGAAAAGACTAAAAACATTCGGTTTAAAGCTGTAGGTTTTTTCCCCCATGATGTTTCTAACCTGATCAACCTGCAATGAAAACCTAAAACACACTTTATTTTACTGTTCTTGACAGTAATTATGCCAATTGAGTTTCTACTTGTCTAATCCCTGTGCTCAGAAATACAGGCCATGAAATCCCTACCAAAATAAATGTGTGACTCAGTACACAATTGCTCAATAAAAACGAGTGGTGATTCATGCAGTATAAATACACTGAAAATTCAGCACACAGCAAGTGATTCACACACATCAAGTCCAAACATATTATCTTTATATTTGAAGACAAAGAGGGCAGAAATATTTCTCCAGGACAACCCACACTTGTGTCTGTGGTGATACGAAGGAAGATTAAAGACAGTAACAAAAACAAGACCAAGGCTGGCTGTTTGAAGCTAAAGGAATAGATTAAAAAGGCTGGTAAATTTAAAATTATACTAACAGGAATTTTTTTTCCTAGTGCTTTCGGTGAGTTTCTGCTGATTTTCACAGCTGTGAATATGGAATTGTACTCTACAGTTTATTCTGATTATCCAAGACCAGTGAAATATATGAGAACACTGATGGCTAAATCAGGGTCAAATCTGAAGGGAGAAAACCCTGTGTCATTCCCCACTCAAATATAAATGGAAGAAAAATGATGTCACATTATGAGTAGATAGATGCTCCCTCTGTCATGTAGTCACCTGATTGAAGTTAGTTTATGTACAAATTAAGGCCTTGGGATTTTAATAGATTAAAACATGAAAAGAATATTTTAGAAAGATATCGCAGACACTGTTTAATAATACTTTAAAGAGGTGGAATCCAGACTCCAGAAGAGCTGAAAAGCCTGCCCCCTCCACCCTCCATCCACCAGCCTCCTTGCCTACCTGCCTCATTTCCTTGTAGTTGTGATGCTTAAAGTCCAGATTGTCCGTGGTTGTCATTTCATTTCTTCTGTGGTAATAATTATTTGGGTCTGAGAAAAGAAATAATAGAATTTTCACTGCTTTTGAATTTCAAATATTGATCTTTTAATACCATAATGCATGAAAGAAAGAGGAAATCCGAATTCTACTGTCCCATATGTACTTGGAGCAAGTTTTCAAAAGCAAAACTGAGACAACTAATTTAAAATATTTCTAATTCCTGAACAAATCAACTCATCAAATCAAATTACAAATCGATAGATACAAACAGAAGCCAGGAGGCATCAGATTTCCAGGCAGCTACTCTGCACAAAAAACCTAAACTTGAACAGAAAAGCAGAAGGGCAGCCTGGAGCTGCAGAGGAGGGGAAAAGACACTGGAAAATGATGAGTCAGATGCAAGATAAAAGAGTGGAAGAAAAATTAAATTAGAGGAAAAAGCCACAGTAAATGTTTTGTGTCCACTTGATTAATTTACTATTGCAAGGAATTATCTATTCATTTTCTTGATGAGTATTTTCAGAGTCTTTGTGCTGCTTGAAAAATACAGAAAGGATCCACTATGCATATTAAACATTCCTGATTATCCTCCCAAACAGCTTTTGTGGAAGTCAGAGGACTTTGTTACTTAAAAATTAGTGTACTCATTTATTTATGGATATTATTTATAGTTTGTGTGTTTCGAAATGTCAAAGGAGAATATTTAGAAAGAACAAAGTCCTTTGTCTCCTTGACATTCCGGGTCATTCACCTGGAAAAAAAAAAAAAACAAACAGTCCAAGACTGTTCAGGCTCAGCTTTAAATTTCCTGATAGATGTGCTCCTAATCTAATCTATTATGATTTATTTTCAGAGACAAACAAGTCTATTTGGAAAACATTAAACACATTCCTGAATTTGCCATATCTGGGATGTCTGGAATTTTGAGTAATCGTTTGTCAAGCCAGTGGCTGTCAAGCTTTTATGAAAAATTGTTTCCCTTCACACAAAATCATCTTCATTGGTTTAAAACTATTGGGAAAAAAAGTGAAATACGAAAGTCTAAATATCATCCTCTCTTACTGCAACACAACCAAAAGAAATTGTCTCCAGAGAACAAAAATGATTTTTTAAAACAATATCCTTAATTTTTAAAACAATTTTTTTTGGGGGGGAAAAGCATAATTCTTAGTAGGAAGAATATGTAGTTAATATCCTGCAGCAACAAACACTTATAGAAAATTACAGAAAGTACTTCAAAATACTTTATAACTTAACATTTTTAAACTTCGTATTTCTGACATTAAAACCACTAAATATTCCCATAAAATTCCAAAAGTGTTTGGGTCTTTTGAACTATTTAAGGAATTTCTGGAATGAAGTATGCAAGTTCCATTAAGCTTCACAGTAACATTATCCACTTTCTCAATCACTTACTGAGCTTTATTCCCATGCTTGTCTCCAATTTCCTAATCTACAGCAGAAACGCTGGGAGCTCAGTTGAAGCTTGTTCTACAAATATGACTGAAAAATATCCAAACCATCCTATTTCCTCAACAAAGTGTTGTTGTTGTTCAATACATTTTGTCCTTTCCAGTGAGAACTTAATTCTGTAAAATGACCACCTGGAAATGGGCTTGAATTGGACCTTAGCTATAGAATCACAGAATGGGTTGGGTTGGAAGGGACATTAAAACTCATCTCATTCCAACCTCCCTGTCACAGGTAGGGACAAATTCCACTAGCCCAGGTTGCTCCAAGCCCCGTTCAACCTGGCTCTGCACAATTCCAGGGATGGAGCAGCCACAGCTTCTCTGGGCAAACCTGTGCCAGGGCCTCATAGGGACAAATTTCCTCCTAATATCTAATCTAAACCTGCCTTCCTTCATCTAAAAGCCATTTCCCCTTGCCCTATCACTGCACACCCATGTAATCAGGTGAGAGAACAAGATTTCTTTGCTTATTTAAAAAAAAAAAAAATGTTTTGAAGAATCAGAGCCTTAAGTTTCACATAAATAACCTGGCTTTTTTCCAGTCTAACTTCAAGCTAAAGTGATGCAAGTCCTTGACAGCAGCAATGCTGCACTAACTCTGTAGTTGCCTCTGGAAAGCCAAACCCTTAAAGGTCATCCCATGTTAATCTGCAGAAATTATTCACTAATATGTTGATGACCAAGAAATGGAAATCATAAAAAAAACCCACACGTCTTCTCACACAATGTGTTTGATGGCCCACAGAATATCTTCATAAGTGAAAAAATATCCCTTTGTTGTAAAAATATAAAAATAAACATCATAAAACGGCCAGGATGTTGGAGGTTTTCTATATCACCACGAGCCAAAATATACAGCAACTGATTTTTTTCCTAATACTTTAATCCCACTCCTTTCAAAGTCTGGCACTTTTTCCATACATCAAACACTAATATCCTGGGAATGACTGTGAATGCTGTAGAGTTGGTGGAAACTTCAAATAATTGTAAAGTGAGAATGATTGTATCTCTGGCCCTTCCTCAGCAACAGAGCACAGTTTTGACAGTTCCCTAGAGAATTAATACTCATATTTTGCCAGGCTCTGCTGTAGTCAGGGTCACTGGATTTCTGCTGCAGCTACATTTAGGAAGCTAAAATTTAGAAAGGCACACGAGGCTTGTGCACAGCTGGATGGGTCCACTCTGACAAAAATTATTTTCTTTAGCAAAACAGAGGATAAATACTAAGAAACTCAAATCACAGATTAGTTATAACAGAAGTATGCTCATTTATTCATAGGAATTCCTCAGATGGTCTTGTTTTCTTCCAAGGAGAAAATACCCTGCAAAACTGTGGCACTCCCATTTATACAGAGAAATCTATTCGTTTTTTCTACCACTAATCTGTCTTTACATCACCAGTAGAGTTAATGAAGTTTGTCAGTAGAGACATCTTTCTCCCTTCATCTTTCTATTCTTTGTAAAGATGGACAAGTGACCAGGAAGCTGTAAAATCATACAGATTCACAGAATCACAGACTGGCCTGGGTTGGAAGAGTCCTTAAAATTCATCCAGTTGCAATCTCTCCTCCTGCCACGGGCAGGGACACCTTCCACTAGCCCAGGTTGCTCCAAGCCTCGTCCAACCTGGCCTTGGACACTTCCAGGGATGGGGCAGCCACAGCTTCTCTGAGCAACCTGTGCCAGGGCCTGCCCACCCTCACAGGGAAGGATTTCTTCCTCATAGCTCATCTAAACCTACTCTCTTCCAATTTGAAGCCATTGCCCCTTGTCCTGTCACTCCAGCCCCTTGTAAATAGTCTCTTTCCCTCTTTCTTGTAGCTCCCTTCAGGTCCTGAAAGGCCACAATCAGGTCACCCCGAAGCTTCTCTTCTCCAGGTTGAACAATCCCAACTCTGTCAGCCTTTCCTCGCAGCAGAGCTGCTCCATCCCTGTGATCACCTCGGTGCCTCCCCTGCCCAGCTCCTTTCCGGCACGAGAGCTCTGAGAACTGCCCATAAAAAGTACCAGAAAGGACCAATTGCCCAGCAGTTTGACAAACAGGAGGGATTTTTTCTCCTGTTCTGTCACAGCTCAACACGGCCCCTCAGCCAGCAGAGCCCTGATGCTTCCTGTGGGTTCCTGGTTATTTTGCTCACCACAACAATGTCTGCTGGTCTTTTTTTTTTCCCCCCTACATTAGTTTTCGGTGTTAATTACCACTAGAAAAATATAAAGTGAGCTTCTGATGTCTTGAAATCAACACTCACAAAGCAATATGATCAAAAGAGTCCCATCTATTGAGTAAAACTCGCTTGCGTTCCCACCTCAATTTGTTCCTACGCTTCGCGCTCACAGAATTCCTTCTGTCAGCTTTAGGGTATCCTATTAAAGGAGCTCTGCAAGCTCAGAATGGTGCTCTGAATGTATGAGATAATGAAGTCAACCCAAGTGATCCAGAGACATTTTTAATAAAAAGAATATTCCAGTCTAAATCCTTTAGACCGCCTTAAAAACCTCAACGAGCCCTTTTGCAAATGACCGATTTTTTTATTTCTTTTTTTTTAATTTCTGTGCCATATAAGTGAATTTGACTTGTCTTCACAAAATGGAACATCTCACAGACAGTACATGTGTAATCTTGAAATTAATCTGGTCATATCAAGTGATTCCAAGGTTTTTTCCACATGATGTGTTTCATGGCAGTCTCATGAGCATTGCTCATGAGCATTAAGATCACACATTAAATCAGCAAGGCAAAAAAATCAGCAATGAAATAATATCTTTCAACTATAAATGGATTCTTTTATATATATGTTGATGTAGAGTCAAATATAAAACTAGTGATTCCGGTTAAGCATAATGAGTGATAATAATGGGTAAGAGGAAACGCAAACTCTTAATCTACCATAGTTGCCTCTTAAAGGTTTTCTACCACCTTCTTATCATTCTAATGATTTCCTACAGCTCAGTTCTGATAATAATGACAATTCTGAGGATTCTTAACACTTCTTCAGGATAATACACACTTACTTTTAGAAAGAAAATCTGAAATAAAACCTTTTAATGACACCCACTGTATTGCTGGGGGATGTTACACAGGTGTCTTGACGAGTATGGAGAAACACTGCCCTTTCCCAGGAGAATTACTGAATTTGGTCTCATTTTTATTCAGCCTTTGCTCAAACTCACCAAAAATTTTAACTTCAAATCCACTGCAAAACACAGTACTCCATTACAGAGTTGTTAAAGTTCATTTTTTATCGTGGGTTGAAAGTGATGGCATAATCATGGTACCAGTGATAGTTTTCTATATAAGAACTATTAAAAATTAAATTTCATCACAAATGTATTCCATTAAAATAATTGCCTATTGCCTTGAATACTGTACAGTATAAATAAATGCATGAAGAGCTCAGCTAATTTTCTCTCTCGGATCTCTGGGTACTTTTGATCATAAGCAATTCCTTTTTTCGACTTTCCTTAGGTTTGAGAAAGAAAAGGCGAGGCAAGTACATCCATCCCTCTGAGGCAGTTGCAAAAGATTGTGTGTGTCAATCTGCATGTCTGTAAATACCAACATTTTTGGAAAGTGGGGAGGGAATTAAACGCTTGTGTTTTTGTCCTCTTTTAGCCCAGTGAGAAATGGCAGCACTGATCATCTGCTATAGGTAGGATTTTCTGGCATCTTTCCACCACAGATAAATGTCTTTCCCTGGGTGAAACAGCAAATCATTTCTGTTGCCCAAAAGACATTACTGACACAATTGGATAACACGGCTTCTTTTTATAGAGCTACTGTAACAGTCTAGAAAAGGTTGTTTGTCAAAACTAGCCTACACTATGCCAAAAATGTACGTTATGGATAAGATATAAGCATTTCACTGAAAAAAATTACAATTATCCTCTATAATACAGAATAGATAATGAGTAACTTCTCTGTTCCAAATATCCATGTAGTTTTCTCGTGATTTGTCCAATTTTTAGGGCACCCATCACATGCAGCAGGTTTTATTGCCAGATCCTTACCTGCAGGAATGGGTCCTAGCTGTCTTTAACCATTTCCATCTCATTCTGACAGTGCTAAAAAGCTTTCCCAGAATATTGGTATCTTATTCAGGTTTCTTCTTTATCTTTTATCCTTTCTCCTTACTCCTTTATTACCCTCCCTTGTGAGCCAGCATGATGAAAAGCTGATATAGAGCACAGACTGAATGCAAATGACTTAATTTATTCAAGGATTAATAAAGACATAAACCCTAAAATTACAAGTCTAGAAGACATGGAAAGAAATTCACAGTCATGAAAAGTGTCTTAATGTCCTTCCACCCTTCTTTTTTTTTTGGAGATTATTTCCCTATGCCCCATGTGCCTGTGCACTATCATTGCCTTAGAGGAAGATGTGGTGCCTTGGAACTCTGAACTGACCAAACTGCTCCTCCTGACAACTTGATTTCTTGTCTGTTCACACTCAGGGTGCAAAACAATCAAAACCACACACAGCGTTCAAGGAAACAGAGCATCACATAACTTCTTTCATGGGTTTTTAGGCTCTGGAATGGCTGGAGCTAACTGAACTAACAGAGCTCCACCTCCTGATTTTGATTAATTTAGGAGACTTGCTCAGTTTTATGGAAAAAACTGTGTCAGGAAAGACCTTGATTTCTGCCACACAAACAATGCAGTGTGTTAGAGCAGAGCCGTCAAAGCCGCTGCTCCCACGGCCAAACCATTGGAGTATCCAACTTGGAACGAGCAAGATGACACCAATAATGGGCGAGGAATCCACTTCAGAGGGAACTGCAAAAAATGCCACGTCCTGCAGGAAGAAAAAACGTGCGTGGAAAGGCCTCTTCAAACCTGAGGAGCAGCTTTGTTTCGAGCGCCTTGCGTGCGATGAATAAAATGAGCGAGAAGAAAGAAATGTCAGGCCTTTCTGAGCTAAAAAGATGGGTCAGCACTTATCAAAACCTATTAGTTCTTTCAGTCCAATTACATTTTGAATGAACACGCCCCACTCCCATTATGTCTCTCAATGAATGATTCTGGTATTTTCTTTCAGGAATACACTGAATCAGACACTGCGGGCAATTAACTCAATAAATGACTACCAGGAAGATGCACTGATGCTGTTTCCATGCTAATGCAAGATCTGTGGCAAGCTGTAAGAGCACTCAGCGCAGCAATGGTGGCAGTGCAGATGTGCTCTCACCTTTTCCCACTGACACAGCCCCACGAAGCTGGAGGGTGACAAACTTTAATAACGCTGCAAAGCAAGACTTTGGCCTTGTGTGGGTGTATGGCCAATAAAAATTTGGGCTAAATAACTGCTGTACTAACTAAAAATCACCTTCTCAAACACTGGCATTTTTGCTCTTTCATCTTTAGGTACAGTTTTAGGGAATAGAAAAGAAGCATTACAATTTCCCTACAAATTGCCCTCCAAAATGGTTTGAGTGGTATCTCTTTTATCCCTGTGCCCTCTCTGTCATCCCTTGAGACCTCTCTGTAAATTCACAGTGCTGAAAAAGCCTCACTTTTCCTTCATCCTCACACCCTGGTTTATACAGAGTGGATCCTTTGCAAACCTGCATAGGAATTTGGGATAGATCACTGTTCCTTGAGAGTTCTTTCAAGAGCTGAGGGGGAATACTGGCTGTGGAACTGCCCATCCAGGGTAAGAGGTACAATGGGGAAAATGCAACCTGCAGAGCTGGAGTGTTCTAAACCCCCAGCTGAAAGAGAAAGAAATCAGAATCCTAGTGAAAACATGAAAATTTCACATGCACAGGGCACCCCTGGTCACTGCCATGAAATCCAGGATGTATTTTTTACCCACAAAAAAGCAGCTGTCTATGTGGTCCTGAATTTCACAGCTTTGTGGCAACACACCTACAAACAAAGTTTTATGACAATACTTGCCCCATACCTCTCTTTATCAGAGAATTATCCCGTCCATGCCCCAAATGGTTGGGGTTTTTGGTTGGGTTTTTTCCCCCTTGAGTATTTAAACATCTAAAGGACAAAAATTAGGCTACCTCTGCTTGGCATGTGGAGACCCTACATCAACAGTGGCATTGGAGGCAGCAAGACTCAGAACAGAGGCAGAAACAGATAAAGCAATAATGAAAGCTCTGGAAAGGCAGTTCTTTTTCTGGCTCCAATATTTTGAAAATACTGTTCATAGCCCTCTGCAAAAAATTCCCCCAAGGTGCCAGAATTTGAGATCAAATTAAAAGAAAAATAAAGGAGATGCGAGGCATGGAATGAGCAGTGAGTGACTTAGAAAAGCTTTGAGCAAACAGGTTTTTAATTATTTATATCCATACACATACATATGAAGACATAAATCCACTACAAGACTATTTACATTGTGCTTAACAGAACCACAGCCTTGACAGAATTTACAGCACTGAATGTTTGTTTGGGGTTTTTTTAAGTGGCCTTTCATGGCATAGGACCATTTTCCTTCACTTTTGACTTACCAAGGATCATGCTGGATTTAATAACACCTGAAATTTGCTAGGAATTCCTTACACCCCCACTTCCCCCTCTTCCCCCCTGTAAGATAAGCACTAGTTGAGTCGGATTATTCGCCTTCAAAATATTTCAGAGAAGCCCCATGGCTTATAGAAATAAATAATAATAAAAAAAAATATTAAAAATCAGGCTATAGAATTATAGTTGTTCTTTCTTGCTTTAGAAGCTTAAGACATCTGCAAGCATACATAATCCTGTTGCCTCCATAGTACATGTGCACTCAGTAAGATTAATTGCACTGCATTTAAGCTCAAACAACAAAGAAAATCTTGTTATATCTCCCAGGCAATCTTGTTTTATTAATAAAGCCACTTACTGTGGGATTGCCTGTGAGAAGTTATCCTGATACTATCTGTGATTCTGGACAGGTATTTTGGTTTCTTTTTGCGTAACTCTACTCTCCAAAGCATTACCTCAAAAGAAAAGCATCAACTGAGAAACCTCTTACCTGGCAAAGGGCAGCCTAAGATTTCCAGTCTCATGCAGATGCTTCCTTCCTCGAACCAGGAGCGAGGGTTTATCCGGATGTAACGTGCAACCAGTGGCACCGGCAGCATGTTGAGGACTGGGATCTCCTTCTCACTGTTTCCTTTAAAAATCTATGCAGGCCAAACACAGGAAAATGGCAAGGTCGGTTCTTCAAAATGTCTTTTAGCAGTTTTTGGTTATAGAAACAAATGAAATCACCCAGTCCAGCCCCAGGTTGATGGTGGCTCAGGCCAGAATGGCTCTTCAAAGAGCACAATCCCCTCATGCCCCTTGGAGCTGGAGCTCTAGAGCCCCTCTCTGGAAACAGGCATGAGATTTCCTCAGGGATCAGCAAACTGATGCTAATCCCAGCATGGGCCAGCAACGAGAAATACATCTTATCATAATCAGACACAAGCTTGCCAAAGGGGTACTCTGGGTCCCTTTCTGTACTGTGTGATTTGCTCTTAAAATCAGGGGGACCACTGGGAGATGTTGCCTTTAAGTCCTACACTGACTAATCTGGCAAATCAAAACTCCAGATGGCCATCCCCTTGCTTTCCAGCCTCTGCTCTTCATCATAAAACATCTGTTTCCTCATACTCACCACATCTCCAGACTCGTTTCTGACAGCAGTCCATGCGTGGCTGTCATTGCTCACCAAGACTCTGTAAGAGGTCACCCAGTTACTCCTGGAAAAAGACAGAGAGCAACTAAGTTGTTTTTCATAACTTAGAGTGACTGTTGTTTAGTATTATCAAACTTGTAAAGCTGCTAGCAATGGAAATTCCACTGGACAAAGTCATGTCAACAGCTGGCTGAAAAAGGGACGTGACAACCCAGATTCAACAAACAATTCAAAAATCATAGCACCTAGAAGCAAAACTCCAGTGAGATAATATTCTGGTATTCCAGGAGGTGAGAAATTATAGCTTTCCTTTCCTTTTATATGCAGAGTTTGGGATAAATGGCTTATCTAGAACAGATTTATACAGTGTTCAAAAATCACCTTTTCAGCTACAGAACATTTATTAGTTCTGCTGTTATTATCAGAGAGGATGGGGGAAAAAAAAAAAAGTAATAAATCCTCCAGGATGAAATGTCTGTGAATTTCAACCAGAAAAATTTCCATTTCTTTCAATACAAGAATAACTGGAGCCTGCAGTCATTCTTGTATTTATTAGCAAGAGATAAGGACAGAGAGACAATTCTGTCTCGGCACAGCAGAGTCCAATTGATCACAGCCCCAGTGCACTCCTACAATATTCAGATCAATCCTCAGTAGGCTGATCTTTCTAATGGCCTGTTATCTGATTTACAGCAAAATCCTCTTTAAACTAAAAAAGCAAAATTTACATTTGCACTTCAGTTATACTTTTTCTGGATCCAGCTAAAGAAGAGTACGAAGAGAAATGAAACGCCGGTTCCCATATTCTGGGAGGAGATAAAGTTATGGAGCTTTTACACTGCTTGGGCATTCCCTGTGGAAATGCATATACAGCTATGGAGGAGGCTGGAAAAACTGATACCCCACTCTCCTCTCATATTTGTAAAAGCAGCAGTAATTCATTTTTTCCCCTAACAGCCTCCTGGTTTCAGTAGGCAGGGACTTGGAGACCTGTGGCTTGGAGGTGGGCTTGTACTATAAAGTCAGTCCAATGATGATTAGATTCTGTATTTATCTACATAAACTGATCATGCATAACCAGCAGAGCTGTCATTCTTCAACATGGGTTCTTAGCTAAGCTACAATCAGATAGCTGGGAGTGAAACCAGCGTAAGGAAAGTTCTTGGGACCCCAGAGAAGAATAGGGGCCATTTGGGAAGTTATGGGAGAAGCATCAGAGCATAAGAACTGGAGATCAGGGAGTACCTGGAAGGACAGACACACCTATAAAAAACTGCCCCTTGTACTGCACCCAAACAAATACAACTTTGGTTGTTTGTGTTTTTTAATTTTAAAATCAGCAAATAATGGTAACAAACTACCTATGAATACACACACACACAGACACACGTTGATTCCACTGTCAGACTTCTAGAGAAGACCAAAAAATGGGAAGCCCCAAGATCAGCCCAAATTCACTAAGCTTCCCCTTGCACAAGACAGAGACCTTCACGTAATGCCTAAGCCAGTATTTGTAACTTTAGATTTCCATCTGCTAGTTCATTTTCTGAGTAACAGTGCTCCCACTTACACGGAAGATTCAAACTGATGTCCAGACTTACCAAAAAAGTACATCAGGGTTTTTGGTCGTTTTGTTTTGTTTTTTATTATTATTATTTGTGTGTGTGTGTGTGGTTTTTTTTTTTTTACACACTGAAACCCAAAGATGAGGTAAACGTTTTGCAGAATTTGGAAAAGCACTTCTGTATGTGTATACTAATGCCTCC